AACAGGAGAAACAAGGGACCAGGATATAGACACAAAAAAACATCCCTGAGGAAGATGCAGCATAGGCACCCCCTGATAAGGAATTCAAAAGAATTATTATACTTAGGTATCTTCAGGAATTGAGAGACAGAGCAAGGGAAACACAGAGAAAACCCTAGAACAATTTCAAATGACAATACAAGAACAAAATGAAAAATTAGAAATGATACAAAATTTACACACAGAAATCCAAAAGATTAACACTAAATTTTCAGAAGTAGATAAAGCATTGAATGGGCAAAGGAGCAGAACTGAATCAATGGAAGACAGAATGAGGGAGATTGAAGGTAAATACCTGAACATTTCGTTGGAAAGGGATCAGTCAGAAAAAAGATCAAAACAAAATGAAGAAAGCTTAAGGTTCATGCAGGATACTATCAAAAGGAATAACCTATGTGCCATTGGAATTCCAGAACAGGAAGAGAAAAATAAAACCACAGAGAAAACTGTCAAAGATTTGTTGGAAGAGAATTTTCCTGGTATGATGAAAGATGAGAATATATCCATTCAGGAAGTCCAATGAACCCCAAACAGGATATACCCCAAAAGAAAATCACCCAGACGTACCATCATCAAACTCACCAAAACCAAAGACAAAGAAAGAATCACGAGAGCACCATGGGAAAAATGAAAAGTTACCTACAAGTGTCAACCAATAAGACTAAGCTCGGATTTCTTGGCAGAAAACATGCAGGCAAGAAGACAATGGGATGGTATATATAAAACACTGAAAGAGAAAATTTTCCAACCAAGAATTATATACCCAGCAAAATTGTCCCTCAACTATGATGGTGAAATTAGGACATTTCCAGACAAGCAGAAATTAAGGAAATTTGTTAAAACCAGACCAACCTTACAAGAGATGCTAAAGGGAATCCTTTGGACAGAGAAGCAACAACACCAACAACAACTGACCATTAACACACATGATTATATAACCCAGAAACCAACCCAGCTATGGAAGTATCCAAAGTAAAGAAGCCTACAAGATTGTAAACAGGAAACCAGAGACATCAGTTGACAATGAGGATAACTACAAACAAAAAAGAGGGGGAAAGACTATGTCGTTACCGAACTTCTAGATGGTAGGGAAGTCAAGACAACTACTAGATGGAATGTACAATGTTGTACACTTGGGAAGAAAACTATAAATCACAGGGTAACCTCAAAGAAAAATTATAAACCTTCACATCAAAAAAGAGGACCAACATAAATATTCAGCAAATACTAAAACAATAGCAATGAAGGGAGTGATAACATGATTCATAAACAAAATGGGCTCAGCATAGAAAATTATATGGAACAAAGAAATCAACACCATGAAAAAACACATGACAAAAATGACAGGAACAAATTCCTATTTGCCGATAATTACGTATCTGGCAAGGGACTTATCTCTAAGATTTACAGTAGAAGAGTGGATGACCAAACTATGGTACATACACATAATGGAATGCTATGCAGCACTAAAGAATAATGTAGTCTGTGAAACACTGCATAATATGAATGAACTTGGAGGACATTATGTTTAGTGAAATAAGTCAAACACAGAAGGACAAATATAGTATTAGTTCATTGTTGTGGAGGGTCAAGAAAAGGTTTATAGATGGAAGTAAACTTTCTTTGCTGGTTGCCAGGGGTGGGGGGGCTAGGGAGGGAACACTGCAAAAAAAAAAAAAAAAAAAAGTGCACTGACTCATGTCACTGTAGTTTTGTGTATTTCACTGTACATAAATTATATTTCAATAAAATGCATTTAAAAAAGAAAAGAAAAAGAGTCAAGGCATTAGAAAACTCACTGTGGTCACTGGAACAAAACTGACCCCAAAAGGAATATACAATATTCTTAACTTCCCAAATAACATTATTTATAGTGTTAATCAGTCAAAATTTTAAGCACATACTATTTACTAGACACTACATTAGGTGATGGAGTCCCTGAGTGGTGCAAATAGCTAATATGCTCAGCTGCTAGCCAAAACATTGGGAGTTCAAGTCCACCCAGAGGCTCCTTGAAAGAAAAGCCTGGCAATCTACTTCCAAAAAATCAGCAATTGAAAACCCAATGGGGCACAGTTCTACTCTGACACTCATGGCGTCACCATGAGTCAGAATCAACATTACAGCAACTGGTGGTGGTAAAGGCTAGGGGATATAAAGACTAATAAGACAGCTATCTTGCAGGAAAATGATATATATAAATATATGACATAATAAACACTAGCAAGATGCATGAATGCCTGTGTATCAGAGGGGAAAGAACAACACAAAAGCCATTTGTTGAGACCCATGTTACATAAAGTACTACGCTAGCCCCACAGGATTACAAAGATCAATAATACAATGGCCTTAAAGGATTACAAAACAAAATCTACAAAAAGGAGATAGACATATGTTTTAAGAATATTTTTTAAAGCCAAATAAAATAACACAAAGTGAAACAAAGTTTACTAGAGAGGTAGATATAAGCTAGGTGTGATGGTTTCCTCCATTCCAACTGAGGAAACCAGGAGAAATCTCCAGAGTAGTAAAGGGTCTTGAAGGATGAACAGTATTTTTACAAACTGAGGAATGGAAAGAACGTTTCAAAGATAGTACCTTATCAAAAGGCATGTAGGTATTAAAAAGAGGTCTGGAGGAAAATCAGGACCCCAGGAGCCCAGGTCATGGAGCATAGTAGGAGATGAAGGTGGAAAGGAAGGTTGGAGAAAATCATGGAGAAACTCACAGATTAACTCAAGTGCTAAGGGATTTATACTTCATTCTGTATGCAAGTAAAGGGAGAAGAAAAGATACAATCAGAGCCATGCTTGGGAATAATTGTTGCAGCAATGTTAGAGATGGTGGAAAGACAGCAATTGGGAAAAGCAAAGTTATCTATCATAACAGCCCAAATGGGTAAGAGTCTGAGATACAGGAAGGCAGTAGGCCTGGGAATAAGGGAAAGATGTGAGAGACACTGCATCTTCTGAGATCGCTACCTGATCTTATGTAGAGGAGGAATGGGTGAGCTCACAATGACTCCATGTCATCAAGGGAAGATGGTGGGGCTAACACTGTTGTTGTTGTTATGTGCCGTCGAGTCAAACCCGACTCATAGCGACCACTCCTTGGGTTTCCAAGGCAGTATCACTACGGAAGTAGGATTGCCCAACCTTCCTTCCGAGGAGTGGCTGGTGGGTTTGAAACCGCCAGCCCTCTGGTTAGCAGGCAAGTGTCTTAGCCACTATGCTACCAGAGCTCCCGGAGCTAACACTAGAAGTAGGGAAATTAGAAGAAGCTGTGTCCTACTTCTTCTTCTGTCTGCTTAGCCTGTCAACTATCTTCATCCCCACTGAGACTCAGCTGTGTGTTGCTTCCCTCTGAAGATCAGTCAGGGACTATCTAATCAGGAAAACAGAAGCCACTTTTCAGGTACTTGTGACAGAGAGAATTTAATGCAAGGAACTAGTTACACTGCTACTGGAGATTGGCATCAACAAGATCATCCCAAAGCTGGAGGGACAAAGGGAGCAAGAAGTGCTCTGGGAGAATGAGGGTGAAAAATACCCTGGCTTCTTCCTCCCCTTCTCTTCTCCCCACTCTTATACTTCTGCCCTCAATCTCCCTTTAGCTGAACCCAGCTAAAAGCCAGCTAACAGGGAGTCTGGAAAAGCAGAGTGTGGGGTCAGTTCTCTGAGGTACAGAGTACAGCAGGGCAAGGAGGACAGGATCTGAGGACAAACAGGCAAATGTACTTATTATGTGCTCCATCTACTGAGTTAGTAATGCTGGTCAGCCTCTCTGCATACCATCTAGATGATGAGATATCAGCTGAAAGGACCTGGGAGCCATGGTTCACCTCACTGGGGAGAGGAGGCCAAGAGAGGGGTGACATGGAGCCAGCCACATCTATATCCACTGGTCCCTCATCTTTATCATCCTTGTGCTAGACCTCTCTATTCCTGAGGAGGAACTATTCCCAAGGACCCAAAATCAAAGTTCATCTCACTTAGAGAGTAGAGTGAAAAGGAGAGAGACAGCAATATCCTTCTCTCTTTCCTTCTATGTCCTCTCAGTCCTCCTCTCTCTTCTTATTCTTATCACACTCTGTTCTCCTTTGCCGTCCTTTATCTCCACTTCCAATCTTTCTTCATTTTCAGTTCCTTCCTCCCTTTGTCTACCTTCATCTCCTCTCTCCTCCATCTCCATCTCACTCCTGAAGAATTCCACGAGACTGATTCTCAAAACACCACATATTGAGAACTTATTGGTAACATGCTGTGCTAGACATATAGTAAACATCACATCTTTAGAATCTAGTTATTAGTTCCTTGAGCAGTGTAGCCATTCAACAAAACAGCTGTTAAATTTAATTGTTTATAATATACCCTGTCATCATTAAATTATTTATTTGTTCATTTTGTTTGTTTGTTTGTCTATATGGAGGGACCTTGAGTATTTTCTGAAATTATCCTCATGACATCTGGCCAGGGAATCTAGTGAGAAAAGGAAAGATCAACGTGAAATCAAGGTATTTGAGACTAGAAGATTTCCATGTTATGTTAAACTTCTATTTCCCTATGAATAATTAAAATAGAGCACAGTTCTTATGAAAGCTTCATGTATGCCCATAAATAAATGACATCAATCTATAGCAAAACATCTTTGCTCAGTTCCCAACAAGTAATAGTTCCTTGAAGAATGAAAAAAGGACATAGTCTTTGAAACATGAATTTCTGCCCTTCCCATTTTCCTTCAGAAGGAAATATTACCCATCATGAAGGGGGAGTTCTTTTTTGACCTCATTTGGGGACGGAATTTTTAACCAAAATGGTGTCACCACTAAACCCACTCTGATACACCAACGTAGGTGACCACAGAAGCAAAGTCCTATAAAAAGAGAGAAGACAGCGCCACACTTTGCGCACCTCGTAGCAGGCACAAGCTCCTCCATCCTCAGTCAATCGGAAGAAGCTATGATGTCTTCTGTAAGGACCTTGTCTGTGGTGAGTTATGGACTAACATACAATGTACTCGTTGGTTTGTACCAGATAATAGTTCTGTCTTGTAGGCATGAAATTTTGTATTATAACTATGGGAGATCTAAGAATACTGGATATGTAGGCTAGGAAATTAAAGATTTGGTAGATATGTAAGTCATTGTTTAGCATTTTCAAGAACTGATACACATCAGTCTGAAAAATGAGATTAAAACTGAAAGATAGCTATATTGGGGCTAAACCACATACAAAGTGTCATATGATGCTGTACAGTGAGAAATAATGTTTATTGAAAGTCTGTTTTCCTGAGTACAAGCATTTAATATAATTCTCCTATGACTTTTTTTTTTAATCCATAAGACAACGTGTCACTGTCCTTGAGTATTTAAAAGCTACAGCAATGACCTTTCTTTTCATTAACCTTACTATATGCTTGAGCATCAAAACTGCTTATTCTAATTAGCTATATGTATAAATGTGTTTTTGATCCAGTGGCTTTACATTTTCAAAATATTTAATTTAAATTATCTTTTTTGAAATCCGATTTTATTGTAGAATCAATACATGTTAACTCAGAAAAACTAGAAAATATGCATAAGAAAATGTAAGGGGGATTTTGTTAGTAGGATGTTTACCAGTGATATGTCTACCATGAATATTGATTGACACCATATAGATTTTCTACAGCCTTTTCTTTCAAGATGCATGCTTGCCGTCATATGACAGAACACTAGAGCCATCAACAATGCTGTAAGAGGACAGTTCTTCCTAGAAAATCAAAGTTACTATTCTCCCATTGATGTGGCTGACACATGTACTGACAGGCAGCTGATGTGGCACTATTTGCTATGTTTACTTAAAAATTACTGCCAGCCTATGCATAATATAAGGAATCCTGGTGGCACAGTGGTTAAGTGCTCGGCTGTTAACCAAACGGTTGGCAGTTCAAACCCACCACCCACTCCATGGTAGAAAGATGTGGCACTCTGCTTCTGTGAAGGTTACAGCCTTGGAAACTCTATGGGGCAGTTCTATTCTGTCCTAGTGTTTTTAAGAGTCAGAATCAACTCAACAGCAATGGGCTTGGTTTTGGGTGCAAATGTCTTTCCTAAGTCAAAAGGAAGATGTTTATGACTGATAAAAACTCCACAGTCTTACATTGTATGGGCATATAATCAGTTATTTCTTTCACAGAAATTTTAGCGTAGATTGTCCTGTAACAATCTGTGTTATGTTCTTTATGGTTACCAATGCAATCATTATCACAGTTACTTTAACAAAAACCTCATGCTGATTCTACCTTCCACCTCTCTCATCTTTCCCATTCAGTTCCAGTCACTGCTCCTGCTGCTAAATCTGGTGACTATGGTGACTGCGGGAATAATAGTCCCACAAAATCCAGGATGTCCAAATGCAGAGGACAAGAATTTTCCCCAGACTGTGAGGCTCAACATTAATATCATTAACAGGAACACAAACTCCAGAAGGTCTTCACATTACTACAACCGATCCACCTCACCTTGGAACCTCCAGTAGGTATCACCGTATTCTTCAATACCCTCAGGCATCAGAGACTGCAGTTAAATCACTTTGAGAATGATTTTTTTTTTCCACTTAAAATCATTAATCAAACCTTGAAGGTGACTGTGCAGAACAATAGTCCTCAAACTTTTCATTTGACAGACTTCTTTGGTAGAGCAAAAGACCCTCTCCCCATACCACCTATCCTATTCAATCTCATTGTCACTTCCACCCAAATTCTACCCAAATTAATTATAGTCATTGTTTTGATATTTAAAAGACTCCAAATCTATTTTTCATTCCAGAAAAAAATAGAAGTTTAACACAGGGGTTTATACTTGAGTAGTCTTTCCCAGAGCTATCATTAACAACATTTGCTGGAATAATTGCCTGGCAGTGGAGATACCATTATCACAAAGGTGGTTTTCCCAGGGTGAAGCTTATCCTTTGCATTCCAGATGTGCTGACTCCTGAAATTTTCCCAAATGGGGGAAACTTGACTGTATAATTTGTAGTAGTAGAAGACTGCATTCACTCTTTCCCCTAGGGGGAAAAAAAAAAAAAGTACACTTGCTGAAAAGGTTTCACTGGTGATTAACTGGTGTTTTTTCACTCCTTTGCCTGCTCCTATTATAATAGGGAAGATAGAGCTTAGATTGAGTGGAGGAAGTTTCATTTTGGATATTCCCATCCATTTTTGAATGAGATCTTGATCCTCTTCCCTAGCATACCCATACTTACTGTGTCTTTGCTACAGCTAGAATTTAGAGTCCATTAAAGATGAAATGCAAAATGAACTTTGATTATTTGACTTTGTACAGGTAAGCCTCAGTTACATGGAACCTACAGATTCACATGACTTTAGGATTTCTTCTCCTTCTCTCCTTACTAAAAAAGAGTTAAAATAAATCAATCCAAAAGGAAAGTAAATCATTTACTCCACTGGAGGAGAGAAGGAAGAGACGGTTACAGAGAGACTTACATTTTTTTTGTTTCTAGCCCTCAAAGCAGCTCTGGGCTCTGGGCTATCAATGTGCCCTTAGATAAAATATAGATGTGTGTGTTCCCTGCTTCTAAGACAGGCTTCATCAAGTCAGATCAACAGCTATCTCATTCCTAGATTGTTCCAAATCAACCCTTGCCTGGGTCTTTTTTTCATCTATCAATTGTACCCTAAATAAATTATCCTTCATGTCAAACTTAAATCCTTTCTGCAGCCTTAGCCTATCTTCTTTTGTTCATTCCTCAGAGAAACTGGGAAACACTGAAATTTGTTTTTAATAATACTGCAAGTGCTTGAAGATCTAACTTTTCCCAAAACTTCTTCATACTGTCAATGCTTACAGAATATCTAATGCTTATAATGTTATCCTGTAAACTTGTCTCCCTTCTTTCATTTCTGTGTGATCTCCTTCCTGCTTTCCCTGGATGGAACTCATTTTCCTCCTGGCTTTTGTTTCCCCTGCAGCCGCAATGAGGACCCCGAGAGATACCCCTCTGTGATTTGGGAGGCTAGCTGCCGCTACAAGGGCTGTGTCAATGCTGACGGGAAGGAGAACCTCCACATGAACTCCGTCCCCATCCAGCAAGAGATCCTGGTCCTGAGAAGGGAGAATGCACATTGCCCTCGCTCCTTCCGGCTGGAGAAGATGCTGGTGACTGTGGGTTGCACCTGTGTCACCCCCGTCATACAACACATGGGCTGAAAGCTACAGGCCAGACCTGAGGAGGCTCCCCTATAGTCAGGCTTTCTGCAGAGCAGATCTTGCCCCTCAGGAATCCTCATCCTTCAAAGTCCCAGCCCTATTTCTAATTAAACTCACCAGGGTCTTTAAGACTAACACTTTGGTTCAGAGATAGGATCTGAATTCTCTCCCTTTCTCTGTCCAAGGCTTAGACTGACTACAGAGTTGTGCTTCTTATTTGCTTTTCTAAGGGCTTTAAGTTATTTATGTATTTAATATGCCTTCAGATAACTTTGGGGCAGTTGATTCCATATTATGTACTACCTACCTTGTTTTGTTTTTAGAGACAAGTTTCTAGACTTGAGAACTGTATTATTTAAAAGGTGAAACCTATATTTATATGAGCTATTTATGGATCTATTTATGTTTCTTAAACCTTTAGAGAAAGGTGAAGTAGTAGGATTATCTGTTTTGCCTAAAGGAGTCCTATATGGGATTAAATGGCTGTTGGAAATTCTGAGTTCTTCCTATTTATGGATATAGGATTATAGTCTTTTTGTCACCTAAGAGTGCATGACATGGCTGAAAAGAGAGAAAAAGCAAACCTGGTTTCATATTTATTAAGTTAAATCTATAAAATTTTGAAGTTTCATAGGAGACATGACAAATTTAGCTCTGCTCTGTTCAATGCCTGTAACAAAAAAAACATTTGGTAATAAAGTTTTGGGAGTAAATTTGTTTCCTTGTTCTTTTTCATTAAAAGTGCTTCAGGGACCGCAACTCAAAATTTGGAAGTGTATACAAATTAGCCTAAAGAGCAAAATAAAGCAAGCCTTTGGGTAACAATGCCCGTGACCCACTCAGAGTCCAGTTCTCAATTTTACATGCTTCAGGACAACAGAGGATTGGGACTATTAGTGAATACCGTGGACACCAGCAATCAGAAACAGTTTAAACAAATAAAATAAGGGCCCTTGGAAAATGACATGCCTTTATTAAAGATCTTACAGGGAAAAGAAATGTTCAAGTTTGTTCTGACTCACAGCAACCCCACAAACAACAGAACGAAACACTGCCAGGTCCTGCCAAGCCTCAAAATCATTGCAATGCTTGAGTCCGTTGTTGCAGGCACTATGTCAGTCCATCTCCTTGAGGGTCTTCCTCTTTTTGCTCACCATCTATTTTACCAAGAATGATATCCTTCTCCAGGGACTGGTCCCTCCTGACAAGAAAAGACACTGCCAAAAATATGACCTAAAGTTTGACATGAAAAAGGAGGTGGGGTGCTGAGAGGAAATATTATTTTCAGCCTATGAGTTTGGCATCTTGATTTCATCCAGAGGTTCCAGAGGTGCTTAGAAAGCAAATCCTGGTGATTTCCTTCCAAAAAAACAGCCACCGAAAACCCTGTGGAGCATAGTTCTGCTCTCACGCACATAGGGTTACCATGAATCAGAGTCGACTCCAGCGCAACAGTGAAACCCTGGAATTTGTGGTGCTCTTTGAAGGAGTTTCACATTGTTGTTCCTCACAAGGAGATAAGGGAAGCAAAAATGTAACTCTCTGAGAAACCAGATAGTCAGTAGTTTTGCTGACCCCAGAGAAAGGCCATAAACTATTGATCACTAGTTGCTGACCCAGGAACAGCCTGAATAAAAAGGGACATTGGCATTTTAAAAATCACACGCCTGGGTGGAGATTTAGCATTACAGTGAGACATGCTAAGAACCACCATCTTTGTATCCCTTATTACATATGCTTAACCCATAATCTTATGAAATTTTATGTATAACATGATTTGGATATAATCTCCACTCTATAAAAGAAACTTAGAGAGCACTTAGATACAGGCAGAATCTGAGGGATTCTCCTCTTTGTCTCAGGTTGTGTACTAATTTAATAAAAGCTCCTCAATTTGATGGGTCTTTATTAGCTTAAATCACTCTAGGCAACGGACCCAGAGATTGGCTGGCATTAACTGGTTTTTTATTTTGTCCCACTCTTTGATCCCAATTTAGGCTTCCTGAGTTGGTCAATGTCACCCAGATATAAACAGAGAAACATTTTCTTTTCCTCAGGCCATACCCCTAGACCTGTTCCCTAGCATCTGGCCCAATGCAACCTTGGAAACAGGAAGGAGCTGTTGAGGAAGAACACACTAGAAGTATGAGAACAGTTCAGTTTAAGTAAAACAAAAACTGAATCATATTCAATTCCAGACTAGTTTCAAGTTTCGGGTCATAATCATTTTCCACCCCCTGGCCCAGCTTGCTGTCTTGCCCTACTTCTGGAGGCCTCTGGAAATTCTCAGGCTGGGCCTACCGGCTCCCTTGAGGTATCATCTTCACATTTTCATTCTTCAGCATGCTCCAGCCCCACTCAGAGACCCATGGCTTTTCTTTGTACCTTTCCCAATTCCAAATCCAGGGTGGACTTCTCCAGGCCTCCTCTCTTCAGTGCCATTTTGTATTCCTAAGTCTTGATTCTCATGGCCATAGCCTGTCGCATCATCATACAAGAAAACTAGCTGCAGTTTCTGACAGTTTCTCACAGACTTTACACTTTAAAACCTCTTGCTAAAAACCCGCTGGTTATTTTCGAGTTTTCCCTGCATAAAACCAACAAAAATCCCAAATCTATTCTCCTCAAGTCAACTCCAACTCATAGTGAACCTATAGGACAGAATAAAATGATACCACCTCGAAAACCCTAGAGTTGCTATGAGTCGGATCCGACTCCACGGCAGTGAGTTTGGTTTTTCGGTTATTGGGTTCCCATGCTGTAAATCTTTACAGAAGCAGCAATTACTTGATAAGTAAAGTAGGCATAGGCTTACTTGTGCTTACTTACTAATCTGTAGTGAACAATTTCACATGTTTCACCACAGATGGAAAATTATTCACTACAGATTAGTAAGTAAGCCTGTACTTACTTTGCTTATTGAGTAATCTGTCCCTGAGAAACAGACTGCCACATCTTTCTCCCATGGAGTAGCTGGTAGGTTTGAACCACTGACTTTTTGATTAGTAGCCAACTGTTTAACCACTGTGCCACCAGGGCTCCTTTTATTCCCTGCATAGTGGTGGTGAAAAGAAAAATTTGCTTTTGTTGTTGTTGTGGGGTGAGGCAATAGAGAGGCATAGATATCTCAGGTCTTGAATCATTAATTCCCATTGGATTGTTTTTTCTGGAAATTTTTTGTTTTGAAGGTAGGACAGGCAAGAAGTATTTGCCTTCCATGTTGCCTTCCCCTGATAAGATTTGCTTTTTATCTCCTATCTTCATTTTCCCCAGTTAGCACTATCAAACATCACCCCACCCCCTCCCCCCAAAAAAAACCTCACTGCCGTGAAGTCAGTCCCAACTTATAACGACCCCTCTTGGGTTCTGAGGCAGTATCTCTAAGGAAATAGACCAGCCAATCATCAATAAATCTGTGAGGTATCCCTGATTCTTCCCCCTTCCTCTTCCTCACTCCTAACACCCACATATCACCTGATTTATTACATTTCACTTCCTAAAATTTCTCAAATCAGTCTCTTCCTCCTCATCAATACCACACTGCCCATCTTTTCTCATTTCTCACCTCAGTTGTTGCTACAACTGCCCAGCTGTTCCTTACACCATTGTTCCTGTTCCCTCAATTCATCCTCCAACATCTACCTATACAAAGTCAAACATGGCAAATATGTGTTGTCATCCCTTGTAATCCTTTGTAATCGGACTCTGTGGCCAGCTGTTTTACCCTTCAGCAATAATGAAGTTCTTGTGGTGACTACTATGCTGTTCCTGATCTCAGTGTGTTTGTCATGAGGTCCCTTCTTCCTTGAATACCCTTACCACCTTCTCCCCTGCTGCTTTTCTATTAATATCCTTCTTCCTGCTCCCCAGTTATGCTCCCATCTTCCTATTCATGCTTTAAGACTCCACTCAGGTAATTGCCTCTAAAGAGGCTTCCTGGAGCCATCATACTCCATTATCCCTTTTTCTGAACTCCAAGAGTATTGTGCATATCCTTTATCACTGCTCTTACAAACTATAGTGCCTTTATTTGCTTAAGTATTAGCCTCCTAAGTTTGTGGGAGCTCTGGTAGCATAGTAGCTAAGGCACTTGACTGCTAACCAGAAGGCTGGTGGTTCAAACGCACCAGCCACTCCTCAGAAGGAAGGTTGGGCAATCAACTTTGGTAGTGATACAGCCCCAGAAACCCAAGGAGGGGTCGCTATGAGTTGGGGCCAACTTAATTGCACATAACAACAACAAGCCAGTTTGTGGTTGCTTGGGAAGAAGGACATCAGCATGTGACCTGGTACATGTTGTTGTTGTTGTTAAGTGCCATCAAGTCAGACCCGACTCATAGCGACCCCTCCTTGGGTTTCCGAGGCAGTGTAGTGACAGAAGTAGATTGCCCCATCTTCCTTCCAAGAAGTGGCTGGTGGGTTTGAACCGCCAGCCTTCTGGTTAGCAGTCAAGTGCCTTAGGCACTACGCTACCAGAGCTCCCGATCTGGTACATTTGTTGTTGTTGTTTTTAAGTGCCGTCGAGTCATTTCCAACTCATAGCGACCCCATGCACAGCAGAACGAAACACTGCCCAATCCCGCGCCAGCCCCACAATCCCTGCTATACTCAAGCCCATCATCACAGCCACCATATCAATCCATCTCGTTGAAGGCCTGCCCCTCTTTCCTCGACCCTCCACCCTACCAAGCATGACATCCTTCTCCAGGGAATGGTCCCTTCTGACAACATGATCAAAATAGGTGAGATGAAGTCTGGCCATTCTTGCTTCCAAGGAGCATTCTGGCTGCACTTCCTCCAGGACAGATCCGTTAGTTCTTTTAGCAGTCCATGGTACTTTCAGCATTCATCGCCAGCACCACAACTCAAAAGCATCAACTCTTCTTCGGTCTTCCTTATTCATTGTCCAGCTCTCACATGCATACGAGGCGATTGGAAATATCATGGCTTGTGTCAAGCGCACCTTAGTCCTCAAGGAGATATCCTTGCTCCTCAGCACT